AATACGAATTCCGTTGCGCCCTCAATTAATTATTATCTCACAGTTTTTCCTGTAACCCGAATGTTCACTGGAATGGATTGCTATATAGCAATAAGGCCGCCTGTAGTACCTGTCTTTTTATTTTTTGTATTATTGAGTACTTGTCCTAGCGTGCAATAAAGAATGTTTGTATTGTAATATGGCAACCTCTATCGCACGAGCTTATTTCAGAGCAAGCTCTTGGTGTAATATTTTGCCTACCTGGTTTTATTACACATGTCGACAGCGAAAGATGTTAGACAAATATGTCTGTCTTAAATATCTCATTTGGTTAATCGACCCGTGACCATGGAGTCGCAACCGTTTCGAAATCTCGAAAGATAGGGAAGATAAGAAACAGTCAATTTTATTATATCTATTTGAGAATTCGACTATGTGACCATTTATATCCAAGATAAGTATTATACTTGGGAATGCAATCCCAGGCGTACTCTTACTTCGAAGATACCAATTCTTATTTTATACCGTTCTATTGTTAGACACTACATTTGAATGACAAAGATTTAAATATTTTTTGTAAAGGGAGAGGTGTCGGCGGTTACCGGCCATTAGAGATAGAATTCTGTTTTTAAATGAACTTGTGATCTTAAAAAATGCCCATGTTATGTTGTTTAGACAACAAATACCTGTGTTATTTGGTAGTGGACAAACGCTGTAAATCCGGGATAATGGGGATATTGGAACGTTTACCGTAAAACTGTATCTCAGAAGACTAAGTACTTACATGCTTTACGTGCTTTCTGTGTCCCTATTTGCCGCCTACGGCTTTGTCATAGAAAAGTATTAACAAATTCAATGACTTATGCATAGGGCGCACTATAAGTTTCCGGAACTGGCCACTTACATAAACAATATTTAAAAAGTAATTACAATATTTGAAAATTGAACACTTTGACTGTCACTTGTTTTTTCATAGTGGCGTCATTTTAGAAATTGGTTTTCTACATCACCATGGATTTGACTCGTGAATATTTTCGTAGTATTATTTTCTACGACTTTAAGTGTAATTTAACAGCTCAGCGGAGCTTCCCTCGGCTTCAAACTGCTTTTGGCGATGAAGCACCATGCATGACGACTATTTATAGTTGATTTGCAGAATTCAAACGCGGTCGTGTGAATCTCAGTGACGAATTTCGTGATGGTCGCCCGTTCAGTGCTGTGAACAACAAAAACTTCGATGCTGTGCGCCGTATGATCATCTATAGGCATAGGCACGACTCAAATACAATTAATACTACACAAACATTTACGTGTGAAAAAGCTGTGCTCTTGGTGGATCCCATACAATTTGACTGAGGCTCAAAAACGGAACACGTCACTTGGTGTAATGCCATGCTTACCAGACTTAACGAAGACGCGTCAAATTTAGTGTGGGACATAGTAACAGGTGATGAAACATGGATTTATAGTTACTATTCGAAAACAAAGCAGCAAACGAGCGTATGGATCTTTCCAGATGAGCCGAAACCAACCAAAGTGGTGCGCGTGCAAAGTGCCTCTAAGCAGATGATTGCTTCTTTTTTTAATAAAACTGGACACGTGGCTACTGTTGCTTTGGAGAATCGTTATACCGTGAATCGGGATTGGTACATGACTATCTGTATGCCGGAAGTTATTGTCTTCTTCTATCTTGCACCACGATAATGTCAGTCACACGGCCAGACAGACAAATGAAATTTTGAAGGTGAACAACGTTAACTTTATGAGCCATCCCGCGTACAGTCCCAACCTGACACCTTGTGACTTTTATTTATTTCCAAAAATTAATAACCAGTTACGCGGTCAACGATTTTCATCACCTGAAGAGGCTGTCGAAGAGTATGAAAAATATGTTTCAGAGATTGTCACGGAGGGGTGGCATAAATATTTTCAAAATTGGTTCATTCGTATGAATGCACTTGGCATTAACGCTAACGGAGAATATTTTGAGAAACAATAAATTAATTTCTGGCCATTTATAGTAATTTTTTCTTGTACTATTTCAGTACTATTCATGAAGGGGGTTAAGTCAGGATATTTAACCTGTGGTCCATGGACCCCAAAGAGGTCCGTCTAATGAACGCCGGAGGTCCATGACGAGCCCGCTTTACATGTTGCATTAATATAAAAATTGGTAAATGTTGTGAGTAGATAGGTGCAGTGACATGACCTTTTAGAATTTTCGCGTCCTTTGACGGCTATCCATTTGTTTTTCTAACATCCATTATAGAAGCGAACGAGACGCGCTCCAATGTAACCCGCGGGCCTTTCTTGTTTTATTTTTTATGTATTATTAGGGGTTAAAGTATGAAATTGCCGTTTTATTGCAATAGGTTCTTTGAATTTTCATAGAATCTTCATGGTTTGAGGTTTTCGAATGAAACTTTTTTCAAATGGTTTCTGTGATTTTTTTT